TTCTTTCTTTCTTTCTTTCTTTCTTTCTTTCTTTCTTTCTTTCTTTCTTACTTCCCTCCTTCCTTCCTCACCTCCCTCCCTCTTTTTTCCTTCCTTCCTTCCTTCCTTCCTTCCTTCCTTCCTTCCTTCCTTCCTTCCTTCTTTCCTTTTTTCCTTCCTTTCTCATACAATTCTAAAAAGAACAAGCCCTTAAGAACAGTGGTGGGATTCAATTTTTTTTTTACTACCGGTTCTGTGGGCATGGCGTGGCTTGGTGGGTGTGGCAGGGGGAAGATACTGCAAAATCCCCATTCCCCCCTCATTCCAGGGGATAGATACTGCAAAATCCCCATTCCCTCCCCACTCCAGGGGAAGGTTACTGCAAAATCCCCATTTCCTTCTGATCAGCTGGGAGAGAGAATAGATGGGGGCAGGGCCAGCCAGAGGTGGTATTTGCCAGTTCTCTGAACTACTCAAAAGGTCTGCTACCGGTTCTCCAGAACTGGTCAGAACCTGCTAAGATGGCAACCCTTTAGATATGGGAACACTATTATCAACCCTCATCTTTATTTAGGAGGGAAATGCAACAACTTTTAGAAACTTTCCCCCAATTAAATTCAATTGGTCCAGCAAAATGTTTAGTAGGTACAGCATACTGCTTCATATTGATAGCATGCAATCTTGCCCCTGGACATGATCTTCTGATCTTCTTCGGTGCTGTCCTCCATATCTGTATGAATTGCAAGAGAAGTGAATTATTAAAATGGCCCAGGCCCAATTATTTTTCCTCACCTAAATATCCACCTCTCTGCAAACATACACCCTGTGTTGTGGCTTGGCACCTTATCAGACAACCTATTTTATTAGACATTCAGTGACTCAAGGAGTAACACAGGCGTGTGAATTCTATTTGCAATCAATAGCTTTTCATCCGCCGTTTGAAATTCTTGCTGGCGCAGTGCAGGAAAAATTATTTTTTGTTTGCAACAAATTGCTTGACAATTTTATCTATTTTATCTATCTATTCCTTCCATTTGACCCAAAAGAATTGGCTTTCAACCTCTGAAGGAAAGATTTCCCCCCCCTCCTGGCTGAAGTGTAGATTTCTGTGTTTCTTTGATTACAATTAGCCAAAAGGAGTGTATGAATTCTTTCCTTTAATTATAATTAGCTAAAGGGATTAACTTTTTAATTGCAGTGAACCGAGAAGAGTATATGGATATCTTTTTAAAATGACAAGCGTGTGAATATCTTTTGTTTGAAATAATTTTTTTATTGAAGAGTTTTAATAAATTTTACAAATATTTGCCCTTCCCTCCCTCCACCCCAACCCTCCTCCCCTCCAACCCTCCGTCCCCCCGCAACCTCCCAGAGCAAAATACAGGGTATAAACATTTAACAATCATACATTAAGATAAGCTAGCATCCTACCTCCCTCTTGTACTTTAACTCCCCTTTTATTAAACTAAATTTAGATAAATTGTAACATTCGTTGTTCATTCATAAGCTAATTGAAATTTCTTAGTCCGATATTTATTTTGAATGTAGTCAATCCATTCCATTCCAACTTATATTTCTCATCTGAATGGTATGCTGAGATTTTGGCCATCTCTGCTAAATTTACTACTTTTAACGTCCATTCTTG